ATGATGTATCATCCTGTTCTTTAAGAGCAGATTAACTGGTGCAAAGGCTGACGGCAAAGTCTCCACGGAAAGTTTTACAAAAGTGTTGGACCACTAGGACCACTAGGAGCCGCTATGGAGCAAAGTTTGGATGAGTGGGTCCCTGTTTTCTTAGTTTGGTGCCAAAGGTTTCATGCTGCTCCGCTTAGTGGTGTTTATTCAACATTACTGTATTTGTCACTATCTGTCTTGGACATAAATACTACCACATGATAAAGCATGAAATGATACTGCATGTTAAACGTTTGAGGAACTTTAACTGGTTATGAACTAGTCTCAGTTTAGTCCTGATCCTCTATCAGACCTCCATCAGTAAAGAGACCATCAGAGAGAAGATGGTCTGTTTCTATAGAGTTATTCTTAATGCTCGTCATCGGAGCCACCGGGTCGGATTCTGGTGAAACCAGATGGACTCATGCAGGTTCACCAGAAACTCCTTCAGCTCAGACTCCAGCAGAGACCGGTCCACCGTGGACAGACCCAGATCCCCCAGCAGAGACCGGTCCACCGTGGGCAGACCCAGATCCGGCTTCACCTGCCGCCTTGGACCTGCAGTCGGAGCTCCGGAGGGAGGAGGAGAGCTCAGTTCCCGGCAGCAGCAGCAGCGTCTCCTCCTCCTCCTCCAGGAGCAGAGCTTCTCCTCTCTGGGAGCCAACACCATGCTGCTGGAGACCCAGGACATATTGCTGGACCCGCTGGAGGGAAGGGAGGCACTGGACAAACAGAACCAGGACTGAGAGGGGCAGACTGTCAGACCCTGCTGCAGTAAAATGAGAGGTTTTCTAAAGAGACTGGTGCTCAGAAACACTACCACTTTAGTCCACAGGGACCGCTAAAAACAACACAAAATGAAATTTCCTTGTAGTAACTTTAACTAGTCTTCTCCCTTTTACTGCTGTGTGGATCAGTCTGTTTAGTTATGTAAATGTAGCAACAATGCACCAAAAACAGAAAGTAAGCTACAAGCAAGCAAACATGGACGTAAACGGTTCAAGTATGGAAAAACACAAAAAGTGAAAACCAGCAGATTTACTCAAAGTGGCACAAACACGTCCACCACTCAAGCTGAACGCTTTAAGTTTTGCTGTGATCTCAAGTTGTTTGACTCCTCATCTTCCTCTTCTTCTCTGTTTAGAGACAGAAGCAGAAGAAGAAGAGAATCCAGAGGGTCAACTGGAGTTCCTGGTAAGTTTTGAAATCAGTTTGTCTGAGCTGCACACATTCACTCCTCACAGAAACACAAACACAGTAAACTGTCTGCAACGTATCCTCATATATATATATATATATATATATATATATATATATATATATATATATCTTAGAGAAATTTACTCCTTTTACACTTTTCATGTGCGAAAGTCACACGTGTCAATTTTCCACTCGTTACATTGAGTCTTTTCAAAATATACTTACGTATTAACAGGAAACTATAAGTTTAGGCAACAAAACTATTTAGTTAGGTTGAGGAAAAGACCGTGGTTTGTGTTAAAATAACTATGGAAGTGTTCCCACGTGGTGCCGCCATGTTGCTCTCAGTAAGAAGACATTAAAGTGATTTGCTCTGGAGAACTATCAGTGATGCTACAGAGAGTCAGTTAAAGCATATTGTGATGCAGCTCTCGACATTTAACTGCAGGATTCCCGTCAATAAGATATTGCTGCACTTTTAAAATAAAGACGGAATAAAAATGCATGTTCCTGAATGGACCTGGGTGACATTTAGAGTTGATCCCCGGCCTGGCTCGCTGTGGATTACTCCGCCCAGATGGGACTGTCCTCTGGGTCTGAAAATAAGGTTAAGGACCGCAGATCCACCGCACCCCCAAGATCAATGAAAACTGTCTGACTCACTCACGTTTCGGCAAATCGATTTCCAGCATGACACACGCGAATCATTAGGATTCGGTGAGTTTGGGCAATCAGCCAGGAGCCAGGCGATGCAAAACACAAAGGCCATTGTTCTCCTGATAATTAGCTTTTTCAGATGTAAACAGTTACATATTATTTCCATAGAATTGTTCTCTTAGAACGTATAAATAAGTATTTTTATTTGGAATGGAGGTTTTCGAATGGAAGTGTCGGATTTGCTCGAGATGTGGTGACGTAATAAACTATGACAGGACTTCACTAACGATCAGGTAACGTGTCTCTGACAGGGCAGATGGACGGGTGGAGATTAATGGATGAGACAAGGAAGAAGGAGAGGAGAGACGAGTTCACCGGTAGGAGACAATGGGAGAGATGAGACACCCGACGGGTCAGGAGAGGAGCAAAGAGAGGAGTGACTGAAAAGAGAGAAGAAGAGCTCTAAAGGAATGAGTCAAATGGAAAGGACAAGGAAGGCGGGACTGGTTGAAGGAGAACTGGAGATGTAGTGAGTTGGATTGAGATGAGAGCAGAGAATGAGGGATTAAAAAAACTAAAGGGAGGACAGGGAGGGAGATGAGATCAATGAGGAGGCGGCGGGAAGAATAAATGAGCAAGGCGAACACTTCATCCAGTTGTCCCTCCTCCAATCGTTACATTCTCACTCAGGGATTCCAGGGACCTGCCTCCGGATTGATGGAAAAAAGCAGGGGAAACAAATTACTTCATTAAAGGACGGCTTTGGCGAGCTAAAGGGAATGACCCGCTATGGGTGATTTTTCGTATTGATTCGTCGGCGATGCTAATTCGTCACGGTGACGGGACGATCGGAGGCTGCAGATTCAGACGCTCTGGGGACACAAAATCAACTCTGACCGAGATAAAGATAATTAAGTTGTAAACAATGGCAACTCCAGCCTCCCGCTGCTTACATCCAGCGCTTTCCCGACGTAAGATCCCTTTATTTGGGATCTTATCACTCGACAATCAAGACGTTCACGTCCTAGTTTGAAGATGAAGATGTTCACAAAGTCCTATAGATGTTTAAGTTAAAAATAGGCCAATTTTGACTTAATTGTGGACACCTTTTAGACAAATAGACATTGTTTCAACGTCATTTCAATGACTGTGTTTCAACTTGTATTTAGCACTGGCTTCACAGTGAAATACAGCCATTGTTCTGCTTTTGAAAGAGTTGTAAACAAGTCAAGAAACGTTCACTTTTCAGCCACATTCAGCCCGGTTGTGTCTAATATGTGCAACTGAATCAGTAAATGTGTAAGATTAGAGATGATGCGATCATCAATAGGCAGGTGCTGGCTGACAGTTATCTGCCGCACACTGCTGTCTCGTTCTTCTTTTATTATTTCCCTCCAAAGAAAGCTGATTTTTGTAAAATGTATTCCCACAAAGTGTTATATTTTCTGTGAAATAGTCTTGGGTGGAGCATTCGTTTGAAATACTGAAAGGTCTCCTGGAAAAACGCCGCAGAAACAAAGACAACTTGACCTTCAGTGTTTTTCAGCAGATGTTTTTCTCCATACTCTCCACTCTCAAGGGGCCAGTATACTCCATCAGAAGTGCTTGTCTCACACACACACACACACACACACACACACACACACACACACACACAC